TTATCAATCAAACTTTTGGATCACTAGACGCTATAGATAAAGCCACGTGTCAGGAGGAATAGTGGTTGCGTTGCACTGGATCAAAACCCATTATGCTGACGTGGCTATGATGACATGTCAGACACGTAAGCAAAATAGGCCCATATATGATGACGTGGTAGATCCACATGGATTTTCTTCCTAGCGTGTCGTTGCTAACGTGGACAGTGACATGTCAGGTGGCGTGGCTGCTGACTATGCAGATTTGCTGTTGTGGCTGCTGACTGTGTGCTGACGTGTCGAGCCAACCCGGTTCAATTGCAGATATTCAGGTGAAGAAGACGCGTGTGGCGCGTCGGTGCGGGTGGGCAGTGTTGTCGTCGGCCCGTGTTGGTGCGTGCGGGCATGCAGGACGTCGGTTCTTCACCGGGTTTTCACTAGTGGATTCTTCTTGTCTTTCTCTACACGATGGTATGTTCAAAAACACATTTTGAGAACTTTGATTTTTGAGTTTGGATCAAACATCCTCTTTTTCAAGAACAAGCTCTGATAATAGTTGTTGGGACTTTCAAGCATTCAAACACATAAAAATTTACATGGTTCGGCAACTTGCCTACTCCACGGAGCTACTGATTTGTATTAATCACTTAAAGAAACAATACAAACAAAGAGGAGGAGAAAACTCTTCTCAACTTAACTCTACACTCAAATTTTCTCTACCGCTCTCACTCTCTCGGTTTTTCACTCTGTATATCACACACATCTTCAGCTCTTTAGCTTGTCTATTTATAGACAAGGTTAGGGAGATATGGGGCATAAATCATGCCATGATTTATGCTACCAATTAATCCTTTATTAGTGCCAAGTGGGAGATTAGATATAATGGAGGTGGGATAATGTTTGTCTTCACTGACACTTGTCACATTCCATGCATGCAAATTTAGTTTTAATGTGATTGTATTATTTTGTTTTCTACAGTGCTTCTCAATCAATCAAATTGCTGCTTCAGTTGAGATATATGACATTTTGGAATATACATGTAATGTACATAATCTACCTCTGGCTCTCACATGGATTTCAGATAGGAGAGACTGTAATGTAAATTCAAATGGGAAACTTCGAATAGTTGAAAGTGCTTGCTATCTGAATGACATAACAATGGAAGGGTTTGTGGAGGCATGTGGACAACACCATCTTGAGGAAGGACAAGGTGTAGCTGGAAAAGCACTTCAATTAAATGGCATGTACTTTATCCCTGATGTTTCCGAGCTTAGTGCAGATGCTTATCCATTTGTTTGTGATGCCTGGGAATTTGGCCTTCACGCTGCTGTCTCATTCAAGCTAGAAAACATTCACATGAGCAGAGTTGATCACGTTTTAGAATTTTTTCTCCCAACAGAAACAAAGGATGTTTCAGAACATAAACTTTTGATAGATGGGATCTCTTCTATCCTGCAGAAGAACTGTAGGAATTCATGGGTAATTTCTGGCATGGAATTATCTGAGGATAACATGGACTCTGTAGTTAGATCTGAAGGGGCTATTTCTGACCGCTCTCTACCAGCATCATTAGACAATGGTAGTTTCAATACAAATGGTATGATCATAGCTAGCGATGCGGTGAACGCAACTGACCATGGAATAGAAATTGGTGTTGAAGCTCATGAACAGGTGATTTTCTTAATTGATTGTCTCTCTGTCGTAATATTCTTGATGACGCATTTGAGTTGTGGCTGTCAGTAAACGCCATGGCGTCTTGCATGTTCAGAGTCTTAATTAAGTTGCTTTGCTTTCTCGGCATAATAGTACATATTTCCTTTCCTTCGTCTATAATATCTTTATATGATCAGAAACATCATCGATCCATATATTTAATTTTTAATATGATAAAAAAAATCATGCATGTATTCACTTAACAAATCGACTTTTTTGTCGACAATCCTCTTACAAGTAATCAATTAAATATCTTTACTCCGCTCTTGGTCTTCTCTTAATAGGATGTGGGAGACCAAAATTCTACTTTTGAAGCAGCTTCAACTGGAATCACGTCTATCTTGCAACAGAAATCTAGGAATTCATGGAAAGATTTCTCTGAACAATTAAGTGGGGCTAATTTTAGCTCTGAAGTTAGGATAGAGAATTTCGAGACAAGTGACGTCAGACCAGCGGGTATTTCAGACAGCTATTACAGCTTGAATTCAAGTGAAGTCAGGAAATTCTGCAATATTTCTAACCCAACAAGTGATGGTGTGGAAGTACAGGAGGCTCATGACCAGGTACATACTCAGCAACAAATCTTTCAATTTTGTATGTATTTAATTTTTAATATGATGCATACATTTACTCTTTTTCAGCTTAACAAATCGACTTTCATTACGACAGTTCTCTTACATGTAGTCGATTAGATATCTTTAGTCAGCTTAGTTTTCTAATAATAGGAAATGGGAGAACAAAATTCTACATGTGGAGCAGCTTCAAATGAAATCACCTCTACCTTGCAAAAGAACCCCTGGAAGTCATGGAAAGATCATTCCAGTGAATTCATGGAATTATGCAATATTTCTAACCCAGCAAGTGATGGTGAGGAAGTACAGGAGGCTCGTGACCAGGTAGGTGCTCATTTGCCGTTCTTGCAGCGCTGATTGGTTTTCATGTGGTCAATGTCTTACTACTTGGCTATCAACTGACAGGAAGTCGAGGAACAAGAATTTGCATTTGTACCAGAGGCTCCGAGCCCTGATAACGAGGAGGGCGGCAGGGGTACTTCTCGTTTGAATGCCAGCGCTAGAAACAAACGAAGGAGGACATCAAAGGTGTGGCAATACTTTGAAGAAGTTAGAGAAAATGGAGAAATTTTGGCCAAATGCAAAAGTTGTAGTACTAGATACAGAGGGGAAAGCACAAGGGGAACTACAAATCTGCACAAACACCTAAAATCATGTGCAGGAAAGAAATAAAAAGGCTGAAACAGAACTATCCTTCGCCTTTAAAACTTAACAAGTCCATGTATTTGAAGAAACATAGTTTGTTTTCAACTTTTGACCTGATATTGAAGTTGTGGTCGATGAGTCCTATCAAATGTTCCTCAGGAATTGAAGTCGTCAATGCAATATTTAGCATCCTCTGCTGCTAGTGAAGTAATGAGATTTCCTGATAGTGAAGTTCCTTATCCAGTTTTATTGAATTTCTTCTTCGATTTCTTACCTCCAATTGTGCCATACTAACACTTTCTCGCTAATAAATCATTTAGAACATAGAAAATCAAGATTCCTATTCGGAAATACTTTTCTAATTTACATGTGTTCTAGTTTTGTTGATATTTAATACAACTTAGGACCGACGAAGTTATGACAGTTTCGCAGAGCATAAAATGTAACAGAGTCTGATCACACTAAATTTGAACACGAGGAATATTGCATTTCAGAATACCAAATACAACCACCTATAGGCAATTGCAGATCGCAATAGCGATCAAGGAAATGATATAGACTGCCCATATAGCACATTTGATGCCAAGAGGAAATGGAATTGCTATGGCGAAGAAAAACGTTGTGGCTGAGAGGAAGAATGCAACTTTTTCCAACACTTGTACATCATTTCGATACAAAAATGAATTAAATAGCATTGACAAGGATTTTTATGGGTTGCATTTTCAATAAAAATCCTTTTCAATAAAAATCCTTGTCAATGCAACCCATAAAAATACAACCATGGTTGCATTGACAAGGATTTTTATGGTATTATCACCCTATTTTGCTAGTAGAGTAGCATCACCCTATTTTGGTCCAAAATAATAGCCGTTTGCATTGATTTGATGAAGGAATAAAAGAGTAGCATTTAACTAAATATTTCTACAAAGGCTACTAATTGAATTCTGTATATTCCAGAAAAACTTGTTTTACCAAGGCAAAAATGATGTGTGTACACTTTTTTCTCACTAAACAAGGGAGTTTTTGAAGGAGTTGAATTTTCAAGATTCGTATTAGAGTATTAGATCACTTGCTCATTAATCATTGGTTGGTTAAGATGTAAACAATAATATTTGTGTCTTAGAGGTTTACATCCAGTATGATTTCGTGTTCTTTGTTGAATCTGCAGATATATAGTTTTATTGATATTTCTCCCACTAATTAAGCCATCTATAATTTAGATCTCTTCTGCAAATTAAGTCCAATCAATGTCTTGAAAAGCCAAGAATATAGAGTTCAGTAAGTTAACTTCTCATATTACGAGAATCAGTAAAAAAATCAGTAGAGATATAAATCTTGGGATCTGTTGGAATAATAAAGGGATTGATTTTTTATTAATTTTCGTTCGATCTTCATGTATCATTCATTATAAATATTATTTTTTATAGCAATACCATATACAGTCATTCATTTTAGCTTCTTCGTCCGTAGAGTGGGCTAGATGAACCGCGATAATTACTTGTCTTTCCACTATTTGTTCATCAGTCCTGATGTCAAGTTTCAGAACCTGTTCTTGAGTGAACCTGGAATCAAAGATTATTTACCTTCGACCACAGCTATTGTCCTGCGCACTTCAATAGGAGTTTTAATAAGGTGAGCCAGTTCTTCTTCTCTTGTTTTCCTTGCTCTCTCAACTGATCATAATTTTCTATGGACTTTCTTCATTACAAAAGTGCAGATATAGAAAGAGAGCCAGCCATATATAATAATGGGTGCCGTAGAATCTTCATATCATTTGTTTTTCGTGCACTCTGTGCTTATCAATTCTGTATAAAATTATGCAACTCAAGTTTATGGTTTCCCATCATAAAGAAGAAAAAAAGAAGTTAAAATCTATCGATCCCATTATTTATTTTTTCATGATCAGAACGAAGTTATTAATAGATAGCAAAGAGAAAAAACAGTCTAGTTCATGACTTGGTGTTTGTTTGGATTGGTGAGTTCAAGATGAACTTCATCTTTCTTGTGGCGCTGCAATGAAC